TTCTTTTTCTAGTTTCTGAAATTGAAAACTCAAGTTAATGACTTGAGATGTCCTTTTTTAATATAAGTATCTCTTGGAGCACTGCTGTAGCTGCATGCCATAAGTTTGGGTATGTTGTGTTTTCATTTCATTCATCTCAAAATAATTTTCCTTGTGATATCTTCTCTGACACATTGCTTCTTTTTTTTTTAATCTTTTTTTTTAAATTTATTTTTGGCTGTGTTGGGTCTTTGTTGCTGTGTGTGGGCTTTCTCTAGTTGCGGCGAGCGGGAGCTACTCTTCATTGTGGTGCGTGGGTTTCTCATTGCAGTGGCTTCTCTTGTTGTGGAGCACAGGCTCTAGGTGTGCGGGCTTCAGTAGTTGTGGCACGTGGGCTCAGTAGTTGTGGCTCGTGGGCTCTAGAGTACAGGCTCAGTAGTTGTGGCGCACTGGCTTAGTTGCTCTGCAGCATGTGGGATCTTCCCAGACCAGGGTTCGAACCCGTGTCCCCTGCACTGGCAGGCGGATTCTTAACCACTGAGCCACCAGGGAAGCCCCCACATTGCTTCTTTATGGTTGTGTTCTAAAATCTCCACATATTTGTCAAATTCTTCAAATTTCCTTCTGTCACTGATATCTAATTTAATGTCTGTGTGGTCAGAGAACACAATTTGTATGACTTCCACCCTTTCAACTGTACTGGCGCTTGTTCTATGGTCTAGCATATTGTCTGTCCTGGAGAATGTTTCGTGTGCACTTGAGAAGAATGTGATCCTGCTGTGATGGGGTGCACTGCTCTGTACATGTCTGTTAGGTCTAGGGGTTTTCAGGTGCTTAGTTTTCTTTCTTTCTTGTTGATCTTCTGTCTAGTTTTCCTACCCATTATTGAAAGAAGTGTGTCACTATGTTTTAAAAAGACGTTTTTTAAGTGCTTAATGACTTTGGGAAATGTTTAGTAGATATTAAACAAAAAGCAATACTAGAATGTGCATGCATAATATAACTGCTGCAGTGTAAAAAGTATATTGACAAAAGACCAGAAGGAAATTAATAAAACGTGCCAATGACGGCTTCTGGGACAAGCAGCTATACTGTTAATGAGTTTTCCAATTTTTCAATAAGTCCATTATTTTGACCATCATCAAGATGTTTTTAAGTAGAAAATCTGACTACACACACGTCACGGGCTATGCAAGCATACAGCCCGCTCCTGTCATTTCAGGGGCTGCCAAACAGCAGCCCCACCCTCTGGTTCTGACCCACTGGCGTTGCCAGGGCCCTCTGCTCTCCACTTCCCCCACATGGAACAGAACTGCCACAGGAAGCCTCCTGTATGCAGATGCGCTCGTTTCTGTCTTTAAAATGTTTCTGAGACAAGCTGTGGACCCCAAAAGTACATCAGGTGGGAGGAACACCAAAGGAAGCCAGGTAAGGATGCATTTAAAAGCAGCCCTGGTTCATGTAACACATGGAAAAAACAAAGTGCAATGAGGGAAAACTTAAATGCAAACAAGGAAAATTAAAACAACTGTAACTTATCAATGAGAAATGAGCAACAGCTCTTCTCTCCCTGTCACTCGAAGTCCAATGCATACTGACAGTGGAAAAGGCAAAACAATGGCGGCACCACTGGCATTCAGCTGACAGCAAACTCCCGGCATCACTTCTGCTCTGTGTCCCGACTGGTTGGCATCACTTCTCCTCTGCGCCCCTTGCCAACCGCACACCAAATCCAATTCCAGCGCGTCCCAATCTCCAGGAACCACGTGCTAAAATGTCTTCTCTGGGCAAAATTAACCTGTTTAAAAACAACCTGTGCTTTTGAGATTCTGATTTACAAACAGGAACATAAAAATAAATACTGTGGGGCTTCCCTGGTGGCGCAGTGGTTGAGGGTCTGCCTGCCGATGCAGGGGACTCGGGTTCATGCCCCAGTCCGGGAGGATCCCACATGCCACGGAGTGGCTGGGCCCATGAGCCATGGCCGCTGAGCCTGCGCGTCCGGAGCCTGTGTTCCGCAGCCTGTGCTCCGCAACGGAAGAGGCCACATTAGTGAGAGGCCCGCGTACCGCAAAACAAATAATAATAAATAAGTAAATAAATACCCGTAATGTTCATAAGTAAATACACTGTTTATGCCAGTCACTTTCTGTATTAGCTTTCAAGAGTAATTTATTTTACGAGAAAATGACATATAAAATCAAATCAATCAGAGCTTACACATGCTGATAATGAAAATCAATTGTAAAATACTCCTCATCTCCCAAAATTCGTCACCGGCATTCGTCCCATGCGCCCAACCCTCATTCAGTCCGTCCAAAGAGCTGGTCCAAAGTGTCAGAGTAGTTTCTAAGTCTAAGTAGCACAGAGGATGGGGAGGGGGTGCTTCTCCGTTTTTCGCTGTGCTGAAATTACTTGGTTCAAGTAAAATATGTCTCTACTTAAACTGTGGGACTCAAGGTGACCGAATAATGGCTCTTAATCTTAAATCACATTTAACATTGCTCAAAGGAACATGGCAGTCCCTGTTTGAAAAATACAGGCTTTACTTAAAACTTGCGCCACGCCTGGGGGGAAGAAAACTAAAAAAATCCAACAACAGGAGAAGGTTTCATGAACTATGCTACATTATCTCAACAGAATATTATGTGCAGGAGGTGGAAACGATCTTTACAAAGATTTCTTAATAATATAGGGATGAGCTTATGTTACAAGGTTAAATGGGGAAAAGGCATGAAACGATTTTATACATAATGTGCTCTGAACGACATAAATACAACACACGGCGAAAAGACTCAGGAGCTCTGCCCAAACGGCTGTCCTCCCCGGGCGCTGCCGCGGGCCCGCGCCCCGTCTCCAGGCTGGCCTGATGGGGACACACAGGCACAGACACCAGCAAGGGATGACCAGCGAGCAGCCGTCGGGGTCCCCAATGCAAAGGGCGGTGGGAAACGCGGCCGGCTCAAGGCTAGAGGGGCCCTCCTTCCTTCCAGCACAAACCAAGACATCAGGACCCCCGGGCTCAGCGGAGCTTAGAGAGAAAGAAACTGGACCCAACCCTGCGCTTCCCAGCCGGGAGCCACACCTCGCCACACGGAGCCCTCCTCCGCCTCCTCCGCCTCCGAGCCTCGGAGCACGGCACCTCCCAGAGTGACGCTCAGCTCCTGGGCTCCCCCCGCTGGCCTCAGCACCGCTTGCGTGGCCATCTTCTCCCGCCTCCGCCTCTGGACAGTCCGCACACCGTGACCCCACCTCCCGGGTCCCAAGAGCTCTCCTGACCTCCGTCCCCAGCCATCCCTTGGGGGTAACAGGCACCTCCAGGGCCCACCCAAGACCATGGGCTCCATCCCGAGGTTAGTTGGGGATTTGTTCCACACTTACTTGGAGAGGCTGTGGCTGGCGGTGGTGCACGTGCATGTGTCTGTGTGTGCCCGAGTGTGCATGCACGTGTGCGTGCACCAAACTTGCATTTTGAAGACACTGTGTCCCAGGAGGAGACCTGGGCTGCTGGCAGCCCCAGGAGGCCAGTCGGGCCGCTGCACATGTGTGTGTGTGTGTGTGTGTGTGTGGGAGTGTGTGTGGTGAGGGTTACGGAAGGCAAGGGGAGTCTCTTTGAGTCTCTAACTGAAGGCACCACTTGAACACAGATTCTCTTTCCTCCAGCTTTTCTCTCTTCTGGACAATTAACATCACGGTCATGTCCCTTCGTCCTAGCTTGCTGATCATTCAGACAAATGCACAATGGATCGCTTGGGCCTTACAAGGTAAGTTGCTGCTAGAGTCATTAAGGCAAACTTATTTAGCACATTAATTAAACGGTCTATTTAACACGGAATATCAGTTCTCTAATCACAGCTCAGTTGAACTTCTTCTTTCAATTAACAGCTCTGAAGTCTACTGACAGAGGTCCTGCTGTTCTAGGACCATTAAGAACATTTTCATTATCTGTCAGATGACAGAGGGAGAAGCAGAGAGGCAGGAGCGCTCTCAGGAGTGACCTGTCCCTGCTGAAGAGATGAGGGGGGAGCAGCCCGTGCTCGCTGGTTGCTTAGCAATGAAGAGACGCCCATGAAATCGTCAGTGCTGGGAGAGGGGTGGCCACAAAATGGACCAAGTGGGTACATTCTCATCCTCAGAGGATCACATCTGCCCCGGAGTCAACCTCACCCTCCAGGTTACAACAATGATGGAATCGAAGCTGACCAGAAACTGAAATGGCTAAAACACAAACGAAAAAACCAACAAACACCAAGGCAGGAAGGTTCGCATGAAGACAAAGTAATATCAGTTTTAAAAAAAACTGCTACAACTAAAGAGTAAACCCCTCCCGTGGCATTTAGGTTTTATCCATAGATGAATTAAAAAGTAGATCCTGCACATGTGTTGTCAGAATTGCTTTTAAACTTGAAAAACAAACCAGGTGAAGGTATGTTACAGTCGGCTGCTGCAACATAAATGGAAGAAAAAATACGCAGTACTCACAGAGAAACAGCACGACCCGACCTAAATGCCCATTAAGCCAATCACTTTGCATGCAATTAATATTTCCATAAAATTAAATGCTACTAGTGTATCAGAAGCAGAAAGGTGATGAACTGCTGCACAAATGCAATTAAAGACGATTCGGTTTTTAGCTTGTAAGCAAAACATTCAACTAATATTCTGCCACCTTAACCTTACCCATTTCAATCCAAACCATTAAAGCCAGTGCTCTGATGGCCATTAGCACAAAACCACACTCCCCATATATACTGAATTTCTCCTCATATATTAGTAAAAGGAAGATATTAATAATAATAACTGCATCTTAATGTCTTCAGTAGTTGGGCATGTGGATTTAAAGACTTCTTGAAAGCTGGCATCAATGAGAAAACTACTATTCTCTAATATCAGTTGTCATTAATAACAGTAAAACTAATAGCAATTTTCAGTACTGGTATAATTATGCATAGCAACATCGTAAGGCCACTGAAGTCCATGTTTAATGTTTGTGAGAAGAAAACATCATGATATGGTCTTACCTATGTATTCGCAGATGAAGACTACAAAGAAAGGGGTGACGAGGTCATTTATCCCCTGAACGTATCCACTGGCAGGGTGACGTATGGCCCATATAAACAATATCCTTTCGAAAATCTGAAAGAAAATTGAACAGCTGGTGAAGCAAAACGTGAACGCATCAGAAACTTTTAAATGTACACATTCTTAAAATATACGCTATCAATACTTTTCGATCTCTAATACAAAAATACCAATGGGTTTCATTTTTTTGTAAAATTCCAGTTATCTTAATTTTTTATAGACTCACAAGCAATATGGAGTACGTCACCAACCCCTGGGCTCAGTCCCACCCCACGAGCTGGCTCCCACAAAAGATGCTCTCTGCTCCTCCAAGCCCCTTGGGTAACCAGCCAGCACAGGAGTACCCAGCCTATCAGTGAAGGAGACAGGGATGGAGGGACAGAGGGATGGATGGGCAGGGGGTGGACGCATGCATGAACGGGCACACGGATGGATGGAAGGGTGCGTGGGAGGGAGGGAATGGATGGATGGATGCTCTAAATTTCTCACATATGATTTTTTTTTATTGAGGTTATCATTGACATATAACAGTATGTTAGTGTCAGGTGTACAACATATGGTTCAATATTTGTAAATACTCTATTGGGAAATGACCACCATAATAAGTCTAGTTAACATCCATCACCGTACACACGTTACACATTTTTTTTCTTGTGATGAGGACTTTTAAGATTTAGTTTCTTAGCAACTTTCGAAGACGGGATACAATATCATTAACTGTACTCTCCGAGCTGTACACTACAGCCCTAAGACTTTTTGTTTCATTCTGACCCCGTTCACCCATGTCACACACACACCCCAACCCTCACCTCTGGCAACCACCAATCTGTTCTCTGCATCTCTGAGCTTGGTTGGTTTTTTTAATGGATTTTCTTTCAGATTATTTCCCATGATATTGAATAGCTCATTATGAGATACTGAATACAGCTGCCTGTGCTATACAGCAAGTCCTTGTTGCTTGTCTGCTTTATGTATAGTAGCCTGTACCTCTTAATCCCACACTCCTAATTTATCCCTCCCCCTCCCTTCCCCTTTGGTAACCGTAGGATTGTTTTCTATGTCTGTGAGTCTGTTTTGTTTATGGATTCACGTGTATTACTTCTTGGACTCCACACGTCAGCGACATGACAGACGTCCTCTTAAGCCCCCGGAGAGCGATCAGCATCCGGAGGCCAGCGTCTTCCGTCACCCCTGCCCCCCCCAGCCATCCGACAACCCGGGGGCCGCCTCTCTCCCGACGGCTACGACACTCACTCACGCCACCCTCTCCTCCACCTTCCTTCAGGAGAGGGATCTCGCCAGGCGCAACACAGCGCCTTCGGCCACGTGCACGCACACACACGCACGCGCACATGGCTTAAAGAGCGTCGCCAGCTCCACCCCCCCCCCCACACACACACACACGGCGCCTCCGTGTCCGGCCCCTGCCTCACGGTCCTCTCCTCCTCTCCGCCCAGCTCCCAGATTCCAGCTGCGCTGAGCCCGCCAGGCTGACACCTCCTGCCGGGCTCGCTGCCTAGAGGGCCTGTCCCTCCCCTGTTTACCTGGCTTCCAGCTAAGCCCCAGCCCCTCTATGGAGACTGTGCTGACGCCCTGTGCCCCCCAGCGTGCTGGGAGAGCCAAGCGCTGCCTGCTTGGGAGCCTCCCCGGGTCCCCCACACGGCAGAGCGTCCCTACTGAGCCGAACCGCCTCCCTTCAGTGATGCACCCACCGCCAGCTCCCCGACCCCGGGCTCCTGCCACTGGGCCAGGCCTCGCCGCCCTCCTGGGCCTCCCACCAGCGCAGGCTGGACCAGTGAGCGTGCCAACAGACGATGACTCACATCATTTCCAAACGGGCCAACCTTGCAAAGCCAAGCATGTTTGTACCCAAGGAGGTCAACCCCTCCGAATACTGCCTACATTCCTACACATCACCAGGCCTGTGGTCTAGACACCCCCAAGTCACCACCAGCTCCGGCATTTACAGCGAGGGGCCTGGCGCCCAGACGGGGTAGGTCAACCAGGGCACGAGCGGCCCTAGATCCCAGGCCACCGCCCAAACCCCACCCTAGCTCTCGTCCACTGGGGTTCTTCCAACTGAGCCACAACGGAACCACCCGTTCATCAGGCGGCAGCTCGGCCCAGCACCTGTAACAGGGGCACCCGGTAAATGTTTGCTGAGTGAGCAACACATTCATGCTCTCTATCCATACACATTTGTCATTTTAAGTCAACAGCTTTCCAGCCAGAACTGAATATTTAAGTAAGATCAAAAGACCAAAATCATTCAGCGATGTTCGCCGTTTGCTGTCTCCCACAGACAGCACTAGGTGGTGAGTCCTCATGCTGCAGCATCGGGCTCACCACCCTCGGTGACGCGGGGAGCAGCACCCCACAAGCCAGGGTGGCGGGCAGCCGAGAGGACACGAGCAGGCGGGGTCCTTGCGGGGGGACCCCTCTCGGGCCCCAGCACCTCTCAGTCACAGGTCAGACATGCAGCAGCCACGGCCCCGCCCGGCCGCGTGTACACGAGGAAAGCCCAGGGACGGGCGGCAGGGCTGCGCGTGCAGGGGGCGGCCTGGGTGCGGACAGGCTGGGAGGGTAAGGCACCCTCAGCCCAGGCCCCGCTGGCAGGAGGACCCCAGGACTGCTCGTCAGGAAGCTCCGTAGGGGCCTGGAGCCCTGCAGGCCAGGAGCAGGGGAGGGTGGACGGGGGCTACACGCAACAGGCAGGAGCAGTGACAGGCAGGGGAGGCCCGGACGGCTGGCCACACGAGGGCAGGAGGGGCAGCGAAGGTCAGCTGAGCATCTCCTCGCTCACTGGGGCCCTGGCAGACCTCCATCCAACGCTGCACAGTCTGCCAAAGATGACCGGCAGGCAGGGGGTCCACCTGCACACCTCCTGGGACGCCCGCCCCTGGAGTTTGAGCGGGGCCCTGTGACCTGCTTCTAACCAACCAAATACAGCCAAGGGGATAGGATTACATCCAAAGATCATAACCCAGCCTGCCAGGAGACACTCTCCCCTGCTGGCTTCCGCGAAGCCAGCTTCTGAGCTATAGGCTGCACATGCAAAGGGCCACGTGCCGAGGAACTGAGTGGGGCTGAGAGCCAGCAAGAACCCGAGACCCCCAGCTCTGCAGCCTACAAGCCCCCAGATTCTGCCAGCAGCCAGGGGCGTTTAGAAGCAGATCCTTCCCTAGGGGAGCCTCAGATGAGGCTGTGGCCCAGACAGCACCTTGCGGAGATCCTGAGCTAAGACCTGCCCAGACTCCTGAGCCGCAGAAACTTTGAGACAACAAATGTGAATAAATGTGTATTGTTTTAAGGCACTAGGTTTGTGGCAATGCTGTTATGAAGCAAGACATAACTAATACAGAGGAGACAACTGAGGCACAGAGGAGTTAAGCAACTTCCCCAAAGTCACACAGCCTGTGAGCAGCAGAGCCAGGATTCCACCCTGCTGGTCTGACTAAATGGGGGCCTTGTACAGCCTAGAAAGGGCCACCACTGCTATGCTTTAGGATAAAACAGTTGTTTTCATACATGAATCGAAAAAGAAGAGAAGACCAAGAAATTAGAATTTTATAGTAAGAAAGACACAGAAAAGACTATGAGCTCCTGGTGAGGAAAGTCTGCATCAGATCTATCTGCACCTGCCTGAGGTCCAGCAGGGAGCCGTCCATGCAGCAGGGGTTTGGGGTGTGTGTGTGTGTGTGTGTGTGTGTGTGTGTGTGTGTGTGTGTGTGTGTGTGTGAGAGAGAGAGAGAGAGAGAGAGAGCACATGTGGATTGAAGGACACGACAGAGCTCGGAGCACAGAGACCTCCCCTCCTTTGCAATCTCATCCTCCTGGCAAGTGGTAATTTAAGCCGTGGGAGTCCGTTAACAAGCCTCACACTTTCAGAGGGCTTGTGACACACACACACACACACACACACACTCCTAAACCTGCTCACAAGCATGAATGCCATTTTGCCCTCGGCGGCCCTGGCACCAAGAGAAGCCATTTGGCACAGATGACGTGGCCGGCTTTACCCTGGGAGGAATGGCCAGGGCGCTCGAGTCTTGTCCAGTGCAAACAATTCAGCGCCTGTGCAGGCGACTGGAATGGACTGTTCCTGGTGCCGGGAAAGGCCTGAGACAGCTGCAGGGGGGCTGGCCTGGCCGGGGCTCCTGACTCAGGCCCAAAGCAAAGCCTCCACTGGTCCAGCTTCTCCTGTGGGGAGTCCAGAGCAGGCTGTCCTGAGATGAACTAGTTCCCCCGAACACTCCACAAGGAACCCAAAGAGAGAACCCCAGAACCATCAGTCCCCGGAGCCAGGCTGCAGGGCATGGGTGGGGGGCGGGGGGGGGTGGGGGAGGCGCGCTGAGCATCCCCCTCAGGGAACAGGCAGAGGTCAGGCACGTCCACGGCGCCATCCACAAGGAGAGAAACCAGCCATCTAGGCCTCTGGCAGCTGGCGCCAGCCTTGATGTTAAGGCACTTGGAAAGGGTGCACTGTATTATTTTGAGGAAAAATGTAGAATTCAGAGTTCCTATTAGCTAAGGCAAGCTGTCAGTTCAAATCCCTTAGATTGAACTCTGCTTGATCTCTCTGGATAACCTGGAAGTTATATTTTTACAACTTTAACCCCAGTAATATGTAAATACAGGGCCGGGTGGCTCAAGCATAAAACGAAAGAGGCTTCTAAGGCAGCAGGCAGGCTGCAGCGGCGAGAAGAGCACGTCCCTGGAGGTCTGCAAGCCAGGTGCAAATCCCGGCTCTGCCACCACAGAGACGTGGCTTTGGGGCCATGAGGCCCTGAGGTCAGGCCTAGATCGCATGGGCAGCACCGTGCCCCCCAGGCACCTCCATCCCTCACCTAGGCCCCCGCGGCAGGCCCAGCGGCCCCTGGTCTCCTGGCTGGTCGCCCTGCTGACACCTGTACTCACCATCCCATGGAGCGGCGCAGGGGCTGCTGAGATGCGAACACATCAGGTCACACGTCCAGCCCCGGGGCTTCCCTGACTCTGAGGGAAAAAGCAGACCCCTAGCCGTGACTCCACCACCCCTCGTGGCCTCCACCGGG